ATTTTTTTATTGAATTTTATTTGAATTATAGTGTATGAAAATTGTCAAAATGATCAACTTTCAACCCTCATACCTTTTTAGGGGGGGGTTAGACCGCCGCAAATTATTTATGGGGTTTTACTCAGGTGACCACCCTCTTTCGAGCGCCCCTTCCCTTCATCATCTAGACATTTACCAAAACATGTTTCAGAAATTTTGTTTCGTTTTACCGCATATTTTTTGTGTAGCTACGTGTCTGTATTGGTGATGCATTCATTTTTTTGTACTTATCTTTTTATACTTTCATAGCAACGAACTTTGAATTTCTCAATTTGCAAGTGGAATTTATTTTTCTAATCAGAATCTGTTTTTCGTAATTTAAGCATTTAAAATTCTGTAACTATCAACAAATTCGACTTTGATAGTAAGATAAAAGTCCAATATTGCAATAGGTACATGCAAATTAGGTTCAAAATTTTAACAATTTGTTTGCGTAGGTATCCAGTTGTGTTATCATAACCGCAAGAAGTACATTAAGCAAATTAAATGTAAAATCGTTTTTTTTATAAATTCACCATTTAGTTTTGTAAAAGTTTGGACAATTATGTGAGTTATTGGTAGTTAGAAATAAACTATAAAATGTATGATATTTTATTTTACACAGAAAACAGTGTAAACTCTAAAGTTCACAATTTAGTTTTCAGACCCGTTATGACGAATTAAAAGTTCAATGTACATACGAAACGTATCCTTTGTAAACAAAACACCAAAAATACGCAGTTTCTGTGAGAATCTTCGGCTTATCGATATCATCAATAATAAATAATTAACAACAATTCAAAGAATCAAAGTACAGCACATTATTAAATCATTTTACTGTAATAAAAACAGAGATTAAATTTAATGGATTTTCCCCACACATCCATTAGACGTTCGTATTCATAAAGCGCAGCATCTCTGTTTTCTACATCAAAATTCACAGTAACAAGCCAGGAGTGTATTGGGTGTAAAACAAAAAAAAATTTTAGGGAATTTAATAGTTTGTTTAATTTTCTTTAAGGAAATTGGGTTGAGTTTCGTTTTTATAATATGATAGGGAAATTGTAAAACATCCTAAATAATATAAAAAAACATGACAGAAAATAGTTTTTTATCATACCTTACCGACTTTTAGGGTTGGGGTATAATAAAAAATCATACGCGTGCTTTGGGAAGAAAGTGCGCCACCCCACTCGCAGGTAATAATAATAATAATTCTGACTAATATAAATGCGAATGTGTTTTTTGCTACCATTTCATGCCTTAACGTATGGTACCTTTCACCAAAAAAAAATACTGTTCCCGGTTGAACAATACAAAAGTTAGTTGATATTTGACACGTATTTGAGACATCAATGCCAGCAAAGTCGGGGGTAAAATCTATCATGAAATTTAGTACCCACATTGTCAAGGGTTCAGCAAATGGCATAGGGTACCTTTTATCTAGAAATGAATACTATTCTCGAGAGATAGAAAAATTAGTTTTATGTGGTTGTCGATGATCTCGCAGGCAAAACCTACTTTTATATTAAAAAAAAAAAACGTAGACGTAGGTTACCAAATTTGGTGAATTTGTGAAATTTCATCCTCTCGATAGCAATTAATAAAATAAGCTTACCGTTAGTTTAACCCAGATTCGCAATTTTAGCTGGTTATCTCGAATTTATGATAACTTTTATCGTAATTCAGTGTTCTGCTTTATCAATTTGTTAACTTAAGAGGTCAAAAGTGCTGATAACGTGCGTCAATATGAATTATTTTTAAAATAATGACCACCTACAAGACGTACTTGAAAAACTAAATGAAAATAAACTATAAAAACATATATGTATACATATATATTGTGGCAAGTGTACGTCTATAAAAAATAGTAAGGTTTTTATAAAAAAAAACCACTAATCATTTAACATCAAATATAATTATTTTTATTAATAATAATGTTACTGCGGTCAACTTGTAAAACGTATTCGGGGTAACATATGTATAGTTCAGGCGTGAAATGGTAGCAAACTAACTCACATTGTATTTATATTAGTTAGGATGCCGGCTAATTTGAGAATCGGACTGTGACATGTATTTACTAAAAACCTTACGAGTTTCTGAAATAAAAAAACTAATTTCCTAATGTAAAAGTGAGAGTTTCTTTGGCACTAGTTTTAGAGCAAGGTTTAGGTGAGCATTTTCGGAAACAAACGGACAAACATATTTTTGACACATTTCTTTTGGTTTCTTTCCTGCTCTTTCTATATCACTAATCAAAATAAATATCATTTGCAGATGGAAATCTGTATAATATTCCAAATCGATCACTGTCAAACATAGATAATATCTTCGAAAAAGTTCTGCATGGTATAGCGTGAGTGTATAAATATTAAGCATGTCCCCCCCCCCTAATGATAAAAATATCAATGATTAACAAGGATCAGCATTGATTTTCCGTTAAGCGTCAAGCTTTCAGCAATTTCGACTAAATCTGAAAGTATTGAACTTGACATAAATCAAAACATTTGTATAACCTGACAAAAATATGCCGTTTCCAAGCTAAAAAATTACTATCACTTTATATTAACGTCAAACGTTGGTTGTATTTATATCTCAACACAGAGGCCTTTGCACGTAAAATAGTGTAGTAAACATGCAATTGCTTCCAATTTATTTTTAAGTAACAATATTCCTACGCACACGTCCTGACATTTTAATAATTTAAAAGTGTTGGAATACAAATTAATACGTCTTGCAAAAATTTCGACCCGGAATAGTAATTCCCTAATTAAAGATTAATTAATCAGGAAGTGACCATTATACATACAGTAGTGTATAGGAATGCTTGATGAGCATCTATGTATTATCTATTTATGAAGCATCGTTCACGTAAGAAATGACGCATTGTGGGCGTGTAGGGTGCAATGTTTCTTCTTACGAAGTCCTTGTTTGACAAAAATCGATTTTTAAAGTACTAGGAACATGTTATCCGAAAATTTCCCGGCCAAATAGATTATTTTATATAATTTTAAGACATATTCGTTACTAAACAATAACAAAGTAATAAAGGACTTAGAACGCAGATAATAGCAGTTTTTTAATTTCATTTTTCAGAAACAAAATACATATTTACTTTTTTCTTTCAACGGAAACCATAGTAGGTTGCACTAGTTATCAAACTTTAAGGTTTCCACAGATACAGAAAAATGGAGAAAAACTGAGGGAATACAGGTTGGTAAATCAAGTAGTTCATAAAATCAAATTCTCTAAAACCAATGTCAACTGTTCTATTCGAAGATATGCAATAATTATTATATTTAAAGAGAGAACACCCGGTACACTAGAAGATAAAGGAATTAAGAATAATTAATGTTTTTGAAATTATTTTAGTCAAAAATGCACATTTTTGTTTTCGACTTTTCGAGTTAAAGAAATCAATATTGCACAAAAAAATGCTAAATAACGAATTGTACTTGTACACAACCATATTGTAGAAAATCTCTTAGCAATATTGTTTCCGTGAAGAGTACATAGAAAACCATACTCTTCTTCGATAATGACCGACAGGCCTAAACAATATTGTTAAAGATTTCCGAAAATATAATTGTGAAAAAATGTACTTATCCTTTGTGTTTATATTTCATACAATAATGTTTCACAATCATCCAACAGCAGAATCTGTTGATGTATTTGTTCATTAAACTTTGAAACTTATTATTGCATACAAAGTTTTGCAAAGTTGCTATTTGTGGAACTTCTTAAGTGAGCGTAATCCTTTCCCACTCAATAGCAACAACATCACATTTACACAATGGAATGCGCAAAATTGGTATTTTTAACAATAAAAATAAAAATTGCAAATGGAAGTACCACGTAGGTATAGTATGCAAAATATCTATTTCTATCTTTCGATTTAAATGATCTTATCGTTATATTATTATCTATTTCTATTCTAACAGATTGAAACCTATTGTCATTTTTTGACTTATTGTATTTCGAATGTATTTTTCAAAACAATTTTACATTAGAATTTAGTATTTGCAATGGGCAATTGTTTCGCATTTTGCATTTTCCCTTTTAAATAGATCGTAGGTGCCTACAATAACAATTTTTCACGTCTCTGCTAATCATAAATTACAAAATATAATGTCGTTTGGTACAAACTTCATTTTTAGCGGAAGCTAGTCAATACGAGATGCAATTTCTGCTTAAATATTCTGACTTTAGATAAGTAAATGATTTTTCCTTTAAACTAAAAAATAAATTATAATATAACCCATCCCCACGCCTTTTTTTTACCATTGTTGGTCACGGTAAAATCTGCTTTGCAGCTAATCCTATACATAATTTTATCCTATAAATTTTTAGTCGACATTAAAGTATGTCGACTTGGCATTAACTCCTCATTAAAGTGGCGTTAATAAATCCAAGCTTTTTAGCGCCAATGCAAAGGTATGTTTGTACATATACACACAAACATACATATGTACAATAATACTTACAGATACAGATGGACAAAATAATACGTAGATTGTAAAAAGATTGTTAGTAACTAGGAAGGTTACAAATTTTTGAGCACAACCGGGAATATAGGGCATTCTCTATCGTTGCACAGAGCATCATGTATGGACCGTCGCCTTAAAAAACTAAAAAACAAATNTATCTTCTCTGGGGTTACCCATGATAATACAAATAAATTAATTAATAAAAAAGCATTATCGCTTATGCAATACTGTGATAAGAAAGACATTATTAGTAAATTAAAGAACTTAATTTAAGAAAAACTGTAGAAATTTCTAAGGACTACGGTTAATA